AGAACAGCTGACAGAATTATTGGGACTAAAGACAGTAAGAATATAGAAGATTGTGTTAACAGTGCAATGTGTAAAAAAATGGAAGTAATTATATCAGATGTTAATCACCCTCTTAATCAGTACCTCGCATTCAGCAGGACTGGACGTATGTTATATCCAAGGATGCGGACAAATAGAATTTGTAAATCATTTCTCCCAAGCGCTATGAAACAATTTAATAAAATGTGGAAAAGATAGGCCTATGCTGTATTCCCCAATCTGCTTGCCTTTGCCAAAGCTGATTTTTCACAGAATGTTTAACCAATTTTAACTCCTTTTTAATGTTTTTTGCCTTTTTAACCTTTTAGCAGACTTTTGTTGTTTTTACAGTTTTGCTGTTTCCTCTGTGATTTTATCTTTTGTGTCTTGTTTTAACTTACATTTTAACTGTGAACAAACAAGAAGAATTTCAAACCATGTTCTCACTGTGTTTGACAATAAAACTTGAATTGAATTGAATTGAATTGAAATTGAATCTTATTTATAATATAGGCCACACACGTGTGTTTGAAACTAAATATAAGCATTTTCATCATGGTTTTATTTATTACAAATATATTCCTTCACCATCAATACACATTAAGGCCCTTTTTTTAGGTAAAACGATCTATCTTAAATGTTCTTTCTATTGGAGTTGGGCCTATTATGTGTTTAAATAACTTAGAAGGCATAGGAGGGCAAGCACAAGCATTAACCTTAACAAAAATTTTTGTGTTTTTAATTCTAATTTCGTCTACCGGTAAATTGATCAAAACAGCTTAAAATGTGCAATTTTTAGAGGAAATGGGCCTACCTCAACCTTAAAAAATGCGCGCGAAGCGTGTGAAAAAATTTTGTGTTTTTAATTCTAATTTCGTCTACCGGTAAATTGATCAAAACTTCCTAAAATGTGCAATTTTAAAAGGAAATTGGCCTGCCTCAACAAGAAATGCGCTTATGTTATATATGGCCACACTCGTTTTTTAAAAACTGACTATAAGCATTTTAATTATGGCTTTATTTATTACAAACATATTCTTTCACCATCATTACACATTGAGGCCCTTCTTTTAGGTAAAACGATCTATCTTAAATTTTCTTTCTTGAGTTTGGGACTATTGTGTTTAAATAACTTAGAAGGCAAAGGAGGGCAAGCACAAGCTTTATCCTTAAAAAATGCGCGCGAAGCGCACGAAAGAATTCTGTGTTTTTAATTCTAATTTTGTCGAAATTGAGAAAAACTCCCTAAAATGCCCCCGCCTGTTACGCCACTGATAAATGAAGCACTAGACTGATTCATACCATATGTATATTGAGTTTTAATTCATAATACTACTAGTAATAGTTCAACAGACTGACTGAAATTCTTCCTGGGAAATGCTTGAACATCTCCCCATCCACGAACGATCGAGAGAGGAATTTTACTGAGTTAGCCAGATTTTCGTACATTTCGCAAAATAAACGAAATATATTAAAAGAAAAGAAAAATTGGTGAGGCAGGAAAAATGGATGTGGGAGGGGACAAGAAACTAGTATTTGTCTTATTAAAAATCATAACGGTAGTGGGTTTGGTCTACAGGAGTTCGTGCTTTGAACAGGTCATTCCATTCATAGAAGAAGCCTTTTGATGGAAAAAGTGTACCTTTTTAGTAAAGGTTTGCCTAGGCCTAAAATTGATTATAAGATAGAAAATATTAATCTGGTTATTGTACTACTAGTAGTAGTGATAGATACTATGTACACGTTTAATTATTGTTATTTATTCGTTATGTCATTATATTTACATTTAAAATTAATGTATTGTTTAAGTATGAATTATTAGTTCATGTAAAAATTAATGTTATCAAATAAAATT